ATTCATACATTATCTTTGAATATATTCGACAAAAAATTATTCTCTCATTTATTTAATCATAATCAAAATAAAACATTTGTTAGATTATTTTTATTTTTAGTAGATTGATTATAGTTGAATATCAATATTGACTATGTTTATTATAGAAGATTGAAATGTATTCTCGATTTGAGTTTAGTGCGTTAATATGATATTCTTATTAATGCACATTAAAAAACTGAAAAATAAAAATTTCTATTAGTATCTGATAGAATAATATGTCGATAAGTATTTTGATAAATGATTTGTTAAGATGATAATAAATAAATAAATAAATAAGTTAATATTGTTGTTTAGATTGAAATCGATGATATATATCCATTTAATAGTCATTATTTTCTTAGTGAAACTATGCTTAATAAATTAGGTGGAAAAGAAGAAAAAATTCATGTATTAAAAATGGATATTAAAAATTGGTATAGATCAATACGATCTGTAATTCAATTTATTGATAATGAAATGATTGGTAGACAACCTTTTCAACAAATAAATATATCATATCCATGTAATATAATAAGAGAAACAAGACGATTAGTTTTAATACGAGATTTAAAATATCAAGAACAATCAACATGTCCAACACAAATTAAAATTCTATCCGATGAAGATATATTAACATCACCTTCTTATACAAGTGATATTAATTATGATAAACTAAAAAATATTTTTTTTAATGATAGTTATTATATTAAAAAACCAAATATGACATATATTAAATATGATTCATATAATAAATCGGATTCATATAATAAATCTGATTCAAATGATAATAAAAATAAAAAAATAAAACAATGGAATTTATTTGAAAAGGTTTGTTTAAATATATTAAAAAAAAATCGACAATAATATAATATTAATATTAATTTAGATCAGTGTTGTTGTAATATTCATATTATTGATAATTGCTATATTTGTATATCATTGTATTTGTGGATCTTCTCAATCTACTAAAACATAAGTATTTTATTTATATTTTATCGAATTATTTTCGATTTATATTATCTATATTAATTAATAAATAAATAAATTTATATATTCTCATTTATTTTTAATATTTTTTTTTTGTTATATTTGTTTTCTTTTTCATTAAACAATCTACAAATAGTTGTGAATATTTTATATAGAAATTTATAATTTCAATCCATTGATCATCTACGAATATCAGTAGGAGATCGTAGCAATTTCGACATACGATATATACCTTAGTAATTCTGCTATTTTATACCGATATTATATATTATATTGTTTATTAGAGGTTTTATTAATTTATCAGAGGTATGTGTTCTGTTCTGTTGTATTTTGTTATCAACCATTAGTATTCGTATCTACGTATAAATAAGATAATAATCTATTTGAATAAAGTAGATTCGAATAGAGATAGTAGACACTAAAGTACAAGTATGAAAACGATAAAAAAAACAAAAGTTGAACCCATGATGTACCCTATATACAAGGTTATTTAATTGAAATGTTTGTTGTTTTTATTTGATCTCCGAAAAGTACAAAATAATATTTATTTCAAGTAATTTAATCGAACTTTTTTATTTAATGAAAAGTTAGACGATTGAATATTTATCCAACTTTGTTTTCATGAGTCCTTAAAAAAAAAAAAAAAAAAGAACAGAACAAAACTCTTTCTCCATTATTTAATATAGGAGAATAATGAATGAACAAAGATTATTAATTTATTTATCATTAAAATGAATTTAATGTGCATTTTTTATAGTAATTATAATTAGCTTTATTTCGTTCATAGACACAAATAACTGTTTTTATATTAAATCAATTTTAATAGTTTCTTCGAATCTTTTTCTCTCCTTTTAAAACGTATAGTTTAGTGGAAAAAAAAATCTTTATTTTATATATGCAAAAAAGTACATTTAGTATCCAATATGTCTATTTTAAATGTTCACTAAAAAAAAACACTTTCAATATTGAAAGTTTTCCAATTGATATAAAAATCAAAAGTTTAGAAGTACTCTTTCTATGTCTATATTCCTCAATTAATATTGAAAAGGACTAAAAATAAATGTGGAAACATCGGATTTAAATCCGAGTGTTATGTGTACTTCGAAAATTGAACTGGACAGAGGAGTCATCCTAGCACGTGTACGTATCAAAATTATCCTAGCGAGCCTCTTCTATTAAAACTTGATTTCTATTGGTTACTGCTCAACCAATAGGATTTCGAGGCAAGTGGAGCTCAGATTCGAGTTCTCCTCCCTAGAAAACCTCGAACTATCATCTCTGTGATTGGAAGATGGAGCATTACTTTTCGATCAATTGGAACGTGGACAAAAACAGAACCAATTTCCGTTTAAGTATCTTTGCAATAGGTGACGTTAGCCTTTTTGTTTCTTAATGTTTTATATACAATTTTGTAGCACGTGAAATTCTCTATCGAATAGTATATAATAGTTGGGGTTTTGTATGATTATAAGAGAAAAAGTTTTTTACGAAAAGCGGGATAGGTCAATGTTCGCATAGAAAAGCATAGGGAATAATGAATCTTTTTCCGATAACGCAGCAATGACTCAACGAATCATTCTCATCTTCGAACTTGACCGAGATATTGATGAGACGAAGCTGTGTCGAAAATTTCATAGCGATCGGACTCTCCTTTGGAAAGTTATCGTGCAAACGGCCGAACACACTGACCGATTCTATAGTGTACTCACTTTTTGAGTACACAAAAATTCATTGAATCAAGCTGTTACCCACATCTTGATACCAAAAAAAACTCAAAATGAATTACAGTATGGTTGCAATATTCGCACATCCGAAAAAGATACATTGACTTCAATTAACTGAGATGGTGACGAAGCAAAACACATCTAAGACACTAATATGAAAACGCACCATGCTTCTTAAAAATTCAACTAGAAGAACGTATTGCTATTGTGCCAATAAGCATATTATCTTATGTGATATCTTCTCTTTCTCAGTGTGCTCTTGTAAAATCAATGATATGCTGTGTTCTTAATCGCGTTTTTCTTACGTTTATCTCTTTATGATGGAACCTTGTTCCTGTCTGTTGTAATGCGCTTCTCATTCAATTGTATATCTGTTCTCTCCTTGGCATCATTACTTGTTCATTCGTACATTGTTGTATCTTTGACCTCACCATCTGTCTTCGCATCATTCCCTATTCTATTCGTACATACAAACGTGTCATTCATATGTGAACGATATGATGGTATGATGTGCCAAGAAGCACGTCATCTTTGCTAATTATGCTAATGGTTATTACGTCATACGACACTAACGTACACATCTTCTCCATGTCATTGGATCATCAAGGGTGACATAAAAAGATGGATGTCCTTTCTATAACAACTGTTGACTAATCTTATAATGCGTAATATTCCATTAAATCTTTCCTCTTTCCTTTCTCTTTGTTATATTGTAATATTTGTTCTCTCTCTTCTCTGCCATCCTTCTCCTATATAAGCTCATGTTGTGTATTAGATTGTTACATTTGGATGTAAGCACATTTGGATGTAGTGTTACACATTTGAATGTAGTGCACTAGTCGAATAAACATCAGGCCCATCACTATGGGATTAAAGACATAAATATGCCTCTCCATTTGTCATTAACGATAGTGGAATGCACTAGTAGCTCATTAACATCAATGCCCAACCAGTGGTAGAGCTGCATCTCCATTTTTCGTTACAGCTATAGCATCTGCTACAAAAATGTAGAATTTAGCAAACTTATAGCTCAGAATAAATCGTATTAGTTCTAACCTGTAGTTAGAATGCGGCGCTTGATTGACGCTCCTACTCAAAGTAGCCCTTATATTAGACAGGTAATTTGTAGATACCCGAGCACATTTAGATAGATGAATAAACACAGATAAGGATACACAGCAACAGAAAAACTTCTTTAATTTCATTCTAATAACACAATGGTCAATCGCTCGTCGACACCGCTGCCATATTTAATTTCATTCTTCCATAGCATCATTCTCTTTGATGTACACTCCATCTGATCAAAAACTGCACTTGCTTGGAAAAATCGTTAGATTTATAATACAAGAATTCCTGACTGGAAATTCCAAGCCGAAACTTTCTTGTGAACTACATCTTATTTCTTCAATCGCACTTTTTTATTCGTCTTATTACTATTTGCTTGTTATCTATTTTCTTTATTTTTGATTTCATTTTCATAATATATTGTTGTTAATCTAACTATTGATTTAATGAACAAACAAGCATGTTATACGCATTCATTATATTTACATAATTTCTAAACAATTTATGATGAATTTTGATGAACTTAGAAACACTGATATTGATTGTTCCAGTAAGTTAGATTTCAATCAGTTCATTCTTTGGTGTTGGTCCTATGATAGCAGGAAGAAATCAAAATATTACTATCGATATCTATCATGTGATCATTTACATGCGAAAAAATCTGAATCTGCCGTATATAGAACACTGAAAAATGTATTCCATGCATTCTATGCTTTCAGTCTATGGAACATGTGAAAAAATTTATCTTTAGTTTTTCTATAACTCTAGGCCATTTCAAGTCCTCTCTGAAATATTTAGCTGAAAATAAATATTCTTCTTATCATAATAATTTAATTGAAGTTATATTTATATCTCTTAATCTTATTTCGAAACATCTTACTATTTTTTAAATTTTGATCTATATCCTCAAATCGTAACGAAAAAGTCATTATCTGCAACATGAAGAATATATTTAATTTTCTTTTCTCTGTCATTGTACACATAATATTTGAAAAGTCCGTAACATATTGATGAAGCAATTTGATGAAGTGAAGTGGACATGATTGAGAAAAAATTGATGTTCAGAATGATTCACCAATCTTTGTTAGATTTTTATAAAATAAATTCTTAAAAATGTTTCATGAGAATTCAGAATATATTACAACCAAAGGTTGATTTATTATTCAAGTTGATCCGTCTTCCTGGTGATAGAAAGAAAAAGTGTTTCTACTTATTGTAACTGAATACCACCAGGCTGTTTAAGTTTTAAACAATAAAAAAAAATTGAATATAATAAAACTTATAAGATAAATGTAGTTTTAAGTGATTGAGAAAGGACGTGATACTATAACTATGGACTAAGTTTCTGAATTCGAAAACTCATTTGTATTCTATCGATATTTAGCTTATTTATTGTTTAATTTATTTGGAATAGATTTCTTTCATTTATCGCTTTCAAGAACACTTCAAGTTCTTGCCTCTTCCTATTATTTATTCGTCTGAATACTTTTTCTTTTTTTTTTCTGTTATATAACATGAGCATATATATCATCGCAGCTGAGAAAACGAAAGACGAAAAAATCGTTCTTGCAAGATATAGTATTTCAAAACTTTTTGCTTAGAACTACATCATACTCGCTTTCATATTATATGATAATACACTGTTTTTTGCGCTCTTCTTTTTCGATCACTTGATATGGACTTTTCATATAAAATAGATTTAAAGTTTTTATGAAATTATATTTTTGTAGAATTTGCGACACTTGCTAATGGAATTCATCAGGCATGTACGAACAACCATAAATGGACTCACTATCAATTGAAAATCAGATCAACATATATGTTTATCATAGAAATCCATCTTCGTATCTCAACTCTCACTTTCAAGTAATTGACGAAGTCGAAAGTGATAACAAATGCCAATACTGAAAAAAATAAATATGCTTTCATAAAAATTATTGAGAAGAAATGCGTTGTTAACTTCGCTGGCGCAAAAAAAATTAAATTGGAAATGAAAGTTAAAAGTAAAATAAAATTTTTCAATAAAAGAAAAAGAGAGACGCAAGTAATGAGAATGAATGAAGTAGAATAATATTAGTGTTTATCTTAAAACTGCAACTTGATAATTTCGAGTTAATACTATATCATAATTTGATCACTAATGGGATTATCGATGTCAAGAATAATATAAGTTTCTGTTCCGGTATGTAGTAATCGTTTT